AACTCAAAGGAGTGAGAGAGGAAACACGCTAAGGGACCAGACCTGCTTGGAAAGTGAGGACAGGTGCCGGTGCGGGTGTACACCACGGGACTCCTTGGCTTCTGACTTGCATCCGGGAAAAGGCTCCTTCAGGGTCCCAGGCTTCGCGAGGACTCGACCCCTGGACGGGGAGTAGAAAAGGGTAGGTCGGCCGGGCCTCAGAGCACAATGCTAGGCACCCTCCCCTTCCCCACTCCCAGAGCACCCAGATCTCATCTTCAGGAGCCAGGCCTCCTCGCCGAGCTGTGCGGTCACTGCTCCGCGTTCCCGGGTGACACCTTGTTGGAGAGAAGAGGGTGTGCGATGATGGGGCGTGTGAAGTGCTCCTAGTATTTGGGCCCACGTGGCCCATGCTTCTCAAGCAAGATGTTTCTATTTCGCTGACGGACGCTGGGAATGGGGAAATGGGGGCTTGGTGGCGTAGCGCCCTGGCCACTTGGGAAATGCAGAGGGCACAGCCCAGACTCCGAATGAGAAGCCCATTGGAGTTAGGTCACGCAGTCCGTCCTTTCACGTCAGTCCCGGCCGCGGTGCAGTCCCCGGGAGAACCACGCGCAGGAAGGCAGGGCGCGAGACGGCTCCGAGGATCCCTGCACCGCCGACGTCCTCGGAGAGAGGGGACCGGGTCAGCCGGCAGGCCGGACGTAGAGCCGGGTGGGCCAAGCGCAGGCGGCCCGTGAGCCGCGGCTGCCAGCGGGAAGCCTCAGCGGCTGTTCCCGGCCCCTAACCCCTTTCCTGTGCCGTGGGTACCTCGCGGCTCCCCACCTGCCTCTTCCTCCTTCTCCTCCCCACGCCCCCAGGTGAGGTGATCCCGTTGTCCGCCCAGCTCCCACGGGACCCACCTAGCGCCCTGGGCCGGAGGGAGTCAGGTGGCCGACTTCCCTCCTCGACCCGGCATAGCAGGCCATCAAGGGTTTGGGGGCGGGGTGGGGGAACACCCTGGTGAGCGTTTCCCTAGCCCGGACAAAGCACGCATCGCGCCTGAAGAACTTTCTTTTCTTTCCAAAAGTGATGGGAACAACAGTTTTTATTGACTTTTTTACCGATTAGAGGACTGTTTGTCCTGGTACGTACTATTGTAGTTTCTTCAACAATAACAAAAGGCTTCCTCCGCCGCGCCTTACTATTTTCGAGAAGTTCCCAGGTAGGTCTGTGCGGCTTGCAAGAACGCACACTCGCCTGGTGGGGTTCAGGGGGAGAAATTATTGGCTTCGCTCAGGACTTTCGGTGGGGCCTAACAGGGGTCAGCCGCTTGTCCGGCCCTCCATAGGGTCCAGGACTGTAGGCTTGGAGAGAGAAGAGAGAGAGAGAGCACTTCTTCCCTTGGGTTGCTCCGGGTATTTGTCCTGCCAAGCTTAGCGTTGGGGGTAAACGCCGCACAGGGTTTTTTCCCAAGCTCGCTCTTAGCAAAAGTTGTGGCCAGAGGAAACTTCCAGGTCGCCAGCAGGAATGTCAAAAGAGAACCCCAGTCGCTTGTCAGGCGGGTGGCCCAGAAGGATGTGCGCCACCCACCGCCGTCCTGGGCGGCCGCCCGGCCCCGCCCCGGGTCACAGTCAAGCCCGCGCGACTCCACCGTGACGAGCAGGGGGCACGCGGCGGGCGGGGCGAGGTGCGTCCCACGCCCCGCCCCGGGAATTCCCTCCGGTTAGCGGTGTGCGCGAGCAAGTGCGTGTGCTGTCCCGGTGCGGGGTGTGTAAGTACAGGGGAGGGGAGAATTACATTCACCTCGGTCCCAAACTCCCGCGCTTAGAAGCCGAAGGCAGATTTCTCTGGAGATAACAAAGGCACTTTGTCACTTTGGGCGCTGCCTCGGTGCAAATCTTTAATTGCAAGGGAGTTGGGGGAAGGGGGCTATAGTGTCTCGAGCAACCCCAGCGCGGGTCTCCAGGCGGCAAGGCCCCCTTTGATCAGGAAAATCCAATTATTTGTGTATATACATTTCCCACATAGTGATTACTTCATTAATTGTCCCGCCTTTATCTCCTCCCTTCCCATCCCCCCTAATAATCAGTTCTTTTATCCAGACCAACAAACACACCATAGGAGCTTTGTGGATTCAAAGGATTTGCTTTCGCTTCTGAAAGAGCCGCTATTCTTTGATGATTGGGTAGCGGCAAACTTCAAAGCCATAAATCTTCCCTCTGACTGGCTGGCGGCCCAGCAAAGTCCTTATCAAATTCTTGGAGGTGATCCTGAAGCGCTCAGACCGCGAGCAGGGCAAGCGAGCCGGGTACCGCAAGGGGCGCGGGCGGGGAGGGCCCCAGTACGCAGAGCGGGCGCCGGCGAGGGACTCTGGGCGGCTATTCGTCCTCGCCTTCGGGTCTCCATGCCTCGGCTGCGCCCTGCTCCGCAGCCAACGGCCCTCAATCTGTAGCCATGGCCGCCGTGGCGGTCCTCCGGAACGACTCGCTGCAGGCCTTCCTCCAGGTCAGGGCTGGGCTCGGAGGGGACGAGGAAAAGGTAGGAAGGATCGTGTCTCGATCTTTCCTGATACTGTGTGCATCCTGAATCTCAAATGGAGCCCCGTTTGGTGGATGCCTCAGGAGTCAGACCTAGGGGTGCCCACCCCAACTTCACACCTAACCTTGGTGTCAAGAGTGCGGCCTTTGGGGGAGGGACGCGCGGAACTTGGGGTGGTTCAGAGGTGCGCGTCTGGCTGAGAACAGGGCCGGAGCTCATCCTGCTGGGCCCTCCTGCTGAATTTAGCCGGGGGCGGGCGGGGGAGCAGCGCGAGTGTAGCGTGGAAACAGAGCTTAAAAGATAAGAGGGAGGGCGGATAGGCAGCCGGGCTGTGGGTGTTTCCAGGCCCTTTCAGACGGCAGAGCCTGGAGTCAACGGTCGCATCCCTCTCCCCTCCCACTCTGTGCCTGCTTCCTCTAAGGCTGGGTGGCGTCTCTAAACCAAGTGCAGTAGTTACACAGGAAGCGCTCGAGCGCTCCGCGTGCAGGTAGCGCAGGCACCAAAAGTTTCCCGGGACTGGTGGGTGCGTGCGTGGGCTGAGATGGCGGGGAGGGGCAGCCGGGACTGGAGAGGGGCGGCGATATAATAGCGGGCGTGGGGGTAGAAGGCCGGTGGGGAGACCGCGCTAGGAGCGCTAACCTTTTGTCTCTTCTCCGCCCTACCCTGCCGCCGCCCATGCAGGACCGCACCCCCAGCGCCTCCCCGGACCTGGGCAAGCACTCGCCCCTGGCGCTGCTTGCCGCCACCTGTAGCCGTATCGGCCAGCCGGGCGCCGCGGCGCCCCCGGACTTCCTGCAGGTGCCCTACGACCCCGCGCTGGGCTCGCCCTCCAGGCTCTTTCACCCGTGGACCGCCGACATGCCGGCTCACTCGCCAGGCGCGCTGCCACCCCCACACCCCAGCCTGGGGCTGACGCCGCAGAAAACGCACCTGCAGCCGTCCTTTGGGGCGGCGCACGAGCTCCCGCTCACCCCACCTGCCGACCCCTCGTACCCCTACGAATTCTCACCGGTCAAGATGCTGCCCTCGAGCATGGCGGCGCTGCCAGCCAGCTGCGCGCCTGCCTACGTGCCCTACGCGGCCCAGGCCGCGCTGCCGCCGGGCTATTCCAATTTGCTGCCCCCGCCGCCGCCGCCGCCGCCGCCGCCGCCGCCCACGTGCCGCCAGCTGTCCCCCAATCCGGCCCCAGACGACCTCCCATGGTGGAGTATCCCGCAGGCGGGCACCGGTCCGGGAACCTCCGGGGTTCCGGGGGGCAGCCTCTCCGGCGCTTGTGCCGGGGGCGCTCACGCTCCCCGCTTTCCCGCCTCCGCGGCCGCTGCCGCCGCCGCCGCCGCCGCCGCCCTTCAGCGGGGCCTGGTGTTAGGCCCGTCGGACTTCGCGCAGTACCAGAGCCAGATCGCGGCGCTGCTGCAGACCAAGGCCCCCCTGGCGGCCACGGCCAGGAGGTGCCGCCGCTGCCGCTGCCCCAACTGCCAGGCGGCGGGCGGCGCCCCCGAGGCAGAGCCGGGCAAGAAGAAGCAGCATGTGTGCCACGTGCCCGGCTGCGGCAAGGTGTACGGCAAGACGTCGCACCTGAAGGCGCACCTGCGTTGGCACACGGGCGAGCGGCCCTTCGTGTGCAACTGGCTCTTCTGCGGTAAGAGTTTCACACGCTCGGACGAGCTGCAGCGGCACCTGCGGACTCACACCGGCGAGAAGCGCTTCTCCTGCCCAGAGTGCGGCAAGCGCTTCATGCGCAGCGACCATCTCGCCAAGCACGTCAAGACGCACCAGAATAAGAAGCTCAAAGTTGCTGAGGCTGGGGTCAAGCGGGAGGACGCTCGGGACCTGTGAGCCCGCCCACGGGACGCTCGAGGCTTGTGCAGCCTCGGACTCTCTTCCCAGCGCCTCTTCGGGGAGATTCCAGAGGCCTATGGGCAGCTGGCCTGCGGGGAGACCCAACACAGGCACTTGCCCCCTACCTGCTGCCCGCCACCCACCCCACCCCTAAAGTGACACCAGGCTCCCAGCTTCCCTGGCATGGCCCGCGGACAGGGACCCTGTGGCCAGGAGGAGCAGGGGAGGTAGGGTTGAGAGCTCTGCGTAACACAAGGGTGGTTTCAAGCTCTGAACCATTCTTACCATCTGTGAGACCTACATACAGTTTTGGGGGACCACCCTGAGCTGACCTTGTATATAGGAAACGCTGCTGAATTAAAGCGGAAAGACCTTGGAAGAGTTGAAATAGTGCTGGGTGTTTTGCTAAGACGGGGCCGGGCTTTGTACAGGTTATTTAATAGCTTTGTTTAAAAATAATTATAATATTAATAAAAATGTTCCTTTTGTCCTCAGCTCCTTGCAGAGCTACCGCATGAAATGTCTCTGTAAAACAATCAGCAGTTGCAGCGAGAAAATAAATACGTTAACTCCGGGGTCACCTCGGGAAGACCCCGCTGAGCCGGTCTCATTTGATCTTTTCTTCTTCCGGGAGGCTTTACAAAGCGGTCAGGTTTCACTGGGAATTTGGAGGTTCCTGAGGCTGCCTGGGTCGGAGGCTTCTTTGGTTTGGAAGGTTTGGGGCCACTGTGTTGGCTACATGGATGGAGGAAGTAAGGCAGGATCAGTTTTATGGTAAAGAGGATAGGGCAAGATTTTCCAGTCACACCCTTAGTTTCATATGCAGCGGTAGGACTTGACCAGAGACTGTTGGGCTTCTTTTAAAAGTTTGATTTGTGCTGCACATATAATTCATGTTCTTTTTGTCTGGTGAATTCCATGTGGCTTTCCAATTGTTGGTACTCTCAGGACAGAGGCCCCAATCGAGCTGCTCTTTCTCCTGGCAGCCGACTATGCTGGTGTCTGGAAAGGTCTTAGCGACTCTAGGATCTGTTCACAAATGAGATTTTGGAGCCTTACAGAGAAAGAAACTGGGGTCCCTGGTTCAGGTTGGTCTCTGCCCAGGAAAGAAGCATCACTCTGGTATTTTAGACTCGTCATGATATACAGCGTTGTCTTGCTTGTTTTCTTCTTAAGCATTTTGCTGTGGAAATCTAAACAGTCTACTCTCATAATAGCTACTTAGAGATTTCTGATTAGGCCTGGAAGTTTAGTTCCATTTTGTATGTTGGGATTTTATTTTTTTAAATCATTGAAGTAAATTAAGATTTTCTCAGGAAGGGGCCAGAAACACTCATATTGAGGTTTCTTGCCTGACTCTAAAATTTGAAGTTTTAAAGTTTACAAGTGTTTTTTCAAGTGTCTCAACTCAACTGACTTCTTGATGTTTTCTAATATTTTGAGTTTTTAAACCTGAAACTGAAACCTTAATCTTCTGATTTAGAATTAGCAAAGAACAGGAACCTTTCTAAATTTTGTTAATATGTTAAGCTAGCACCATTAATGCCAAATTTCACTGAAACTGAATCATCTTTTCATGGTAATACAGTGTATACAAATTGATAGGATTTCACAGTTTACAAACTGTTGTCACCTTGCCATTTGTTTGAAGTCAAAGTGAAGGGTAAATTCTTAAAATCTATGAGGGCTGTACTTGAGATTTACTCTATTAAATAAAACACAAACATCAACATAATATTGAGTTTAAAATTACCCTTATACTCCTAAAAAATAGCATTTGTACTCCATTAACTAGGGACAAGGTAGTAAATGAGTATTAGAATCATTGTGGAAATAGGTCTTAGAACCAGTTACTCTCATTAGAGATTTTGAAACTTTCATGACAAACTGGAATGTGAATTTTCAGGGGTTTTCATCTGGGAAGGGAAGTTTGGGTTAGCTCCATTTTCAAGGGTGTAGCAGTTTTGCAAGGAATAGGAATAAGAAAGTTGCTACACAGTAACATTAATATACATCTAAATGTGTAATCTTCATCTAAATCAAGATTATTGAGAATGTTTCTATGAAGAGCTACAGGAAACGCTCACACCTGAACCATGCCCTGGGATCGACTTCAGTGCCAGAATAGGTGTTTTGGCAGGTGATAAGGAAAGAGAAATCCTTGTTCTAGAGTAAAAAGACCAAGGGCATTTGACTCAGAAAAGTTGAACTGATTCTTTCATGGGGAATTTGTAGGAAAGAGAATGCCCTTGCTAGAGAAAGAAAAATAGCAATTTCTAAATTAGTCTACTAGTTATTATTGACAGCTATGAACATTTAGTATCCAAACAGATGAAGTGTTGAAGATAGTTTCCTTATAATTTTAACTTTGTGGCTAAGAGAAAAAAATACATAAAATGTATGAAATTTAGTATTTAAAACAGATGAGGTGTTAAAGATAATATCTATCACTTTGTGATTAAGAGAAAAACTAGATAAAATATGGAATTTATCTAAAAATACAGTATATATAATTTTTAAAAGCAAAACAGTCATTTGATGACACAATAACTTTCTTATGTTTTCACTTAATTGAACCTGAAAATTTAAAAAGTGTGGCAAAAGAACAGTCTTCTAGACTAACTTTGGATAGCTGAAAGACTGTTCCTTATTGTACCACTGCAAAGTTGTGTTCCAATCACTTTAGGAAAAAAGTTTATGCCATTATCCAAGTGCAAGCCAAGAAGCCACAATTAGCCAAGTGTAGGAAAGTATTTCATGTTGATACTGAAAAATAAGCTAATAAATGCTCAGAAATATAATACAAGTGTGACAATCCAGAAATGTATTAGGTTTTATAAGCTGTTAAAATTTGAACTGCTGCTGCATGCTTTGTTTCCTAAAACTGCAACCAGAGTACCATTTAGGACTTCAAAAATTATTTTTAAATAAATCAGTATGCAAGAAATAATTGCATAAATGATGGATTTAAGCAAATTTAGCAGAAAAATTAATGAAATTCAAATTAAAAGAAGTTCAGAAGCAAATTACCATTAAATGTACACTAAAATTTACTGTTTAGTTGGAGTTTTGCTGACATCAAAAAAGTCAGTTTAATCCACCAACTGTATTCAAGGCTTTATTTAAAGACCTCAGCACCCAATTCAATTAAGTTTTAAAAACTAATTGAAGAAAATGTTACCGATGATCCCAAATGTCAATAGACATTTTAATTTTTTTTACATTTAATATTTTAAAGCAACTGTTTTAACATGCAAATACAACATAGTATAATTTGAGAAAATTCTAAAATTAGGGTGATATGATTATTTCAAATTTAACAATTGATAAATGAACCATTTTAGCCAAGAACTTAGAAACATGGAGAAATTGAGTTATCAATAATTTAGGTAATTTGGAATTGTGTGTTTCTGAATTTATCAACACCATAGTTTTCTGCTTTTCTCAAAGGAAAATTGTGCAAATTTACCTTTCGGGGACCACTAATTTGCATTAGTTCTGGTAATGAATGAAAGTAAATTGTGTTAAAAATAATACCACTGTATTCACCATTGTGTTCGTGTTTTCTAGTTTGGGTCAGAGTTTAAATCTTATAACTATATTGTGTATATTGCTACAAATTTTTTTTGCAGTGAGTAAATCAAACAATACATACCAATTTAAAACATTAATCTTGATGAGCATGCTTCTTGCAGAAATGTACTTTAAACAATATTTGTAGAAAAGGCAGTTTTTTTTGCTACAATTTGCACCATGTTTCTATTCTAATATTGTGGGGTTTTAATCAGTTTGAAGCAGCAATGAAATGTTTCTCATTTTGATTCTGCTGTGAGTTTCACAAAATGTTCCTATAGCGGTAGCTCTGACTTTAAATTCATGTAAACACCTAGTAAGTTTTTTAGGGCTCTAAAGTTCAAAACCACCTTGGCTTGCATCAGCTCATTACATTAAATATTGAGAAGTTGAGGTAAATTGACACTATCTCACTGGGAAATGGTCTTTGGTGGAATCAGATTCAATACTCAAGCTTTGTTTTATAGTAAATGTAATTATGGTTTGCTAACATCCCAAATTGAACACCACTCAAAACAAGTCATATTGATGTTCTATTACATATCATTACCTTCCTCTGGTTTGCATGATGGAGGGGAACTTCAAAGTGTATGAGACAGAGGGCAGCTTTGAAATGAGTATATGTGCCAACATAGTTTCATAAACTAGGAAAAATACCTAGTTAGATGTATGTTGGCAATGAAACATATTTAATTAACACAAGGACAAGGACATGTTTCATTATTGGCCACTATAACGGTAAACAGATTAAACAGATGGCATTCAATATATGTAAACAGTACATTTTTCTCTGGGACTGTTCAGACTCAACATATTTTTTATTAAATATTGTGTCAAGTGCTCCTCCCTTGATTGTTTTAAAAGTATCTGCAGTGTTTCAAATTAATTTATGGACATTGTAAAATAACTTACATAATGTTCCTTACTATAGCAAATACGTGATATCATTCAACAAAGATGTAATGAAAGAGCTATGGACCATCACATCTTTTTTTGACAGTTTCACAGTTTTTTTACTGTTACAACTCACTACCAATGAAGATTTGCATGTGATGATTGATATACTCTGCATTTTCATGCTGACGTTTTGATGACTTCCTTTTCAAGTATATACTTTTCCTTCCATGTCTTTAGTGATTATGATGAAACATAATCCCCAATGGGGTATTTGACACAATTCATAATTCAGTCCGTGCATGTGAACTGCAGTAGTTTCTTCCCAACACATAATAAACTATATTAACTTATATATTTTGGTTGTCTACCTAATATCAGAATTCAATTTAGGAGAAATAATCCAGCTTCTAATTTAATATGTGGAAAATGTGCAGCTTTCACTTTTCAAAAAGTGGTTTCAGCATTATGGAGAGTCAATCTATTATAAAATGAAAGTTTTACAGCAAAACTACTCATCTAATTGTTTTTTCATTACTTGTCAAACTTATGAGATAAAAAATATACTAAAATTTTCTACAGTCTAAGGCAGTTTCGAGATGTCACCTGATTTTTAAATATAAAGTTAAATCGTTCAGTCATATGGGTGCTTTCTAAAGATTTTGTGTTTAGCATAATCCAAAACATGGATGGAAAACATCTGGCCTTCAGCTTAGTTTCATCCAATTCACAAGGCAAGTATCAAAGCGAAATCTTCATTTATGCTTACGGTTGGGAAAATGTGTCCTAATTTGAAAAGTATTTGGTGGCAATTTCCTAAAACTCTATGTGTAAGGTAGCATGAAAGCTTATTTCTCTTCTGTCTTTGTTTTATTCTTATATTCTGCATACTGTTTTCTTGTTCTACTCTATGGATATCACATGCCCTTTATATATCCATGTTCATCTCTACGATGGAAACTCATTTTGTCTTATATCTTTTCTTGGTGTGTTTATGCCCATTATTTGATTTTGCTCCCTTTTACACAAAATATGATAGAGGATTATGGTTTGCAATAACCCAGGTTGGAAGGATTTTAGTTAATAAAAAGCCTACAAAACAA